TCTTTGACTCTAGAAAATAATTTTTGAATATCTGACACTTCTTTACTTACATTCTTGCCTGCAATGGAAATACAACCAAAAACACATAATCAATTTCAAAACCATGATTCCAGTCAACAACAAGATGGGTAAGCTGTTGTTCTTTTAAGTTTTTTTAATATAGGCCCGACATCTAGAAAAATTCCGAAGTTGCATTGAACTTATGAAGGATAATTTTGCGTGCAAAGCAAAATGTAATTAACTTTTAATTACTTTTTTTATTTATTTATAATGTAATGCATGCTTGTTAACTTTTATGCAATAATCAACATGTGAACTTTAAAAAAGAAATATATTTTGAAATTTGAAAGCTCGACCTATTATTTTGAAGATCATAAATATTATTAGTTTGATAAATTACTATATAATTTATTTATTTCTTTTGTGTGATAATAATTGTTTTAGATACAACATACACAAAATCAAATTAGAGAAGTAGACTCAAGATAGTGCAGTGTAAAAATCTAGTAAATTTATAATAAAATGATATGTACTTTTTTCTTTCCTTTATTCATTTATATAATTTGTTATATGTTAGCAAGAGAACAAATCACAAACTACTAAGAGGGGACGACAATAAATAATTGAATTCTTTTTTTAATCATATATATGTTCACAATCATATTATATGATCTGTTAAGACAAAAAATTAGTTCAAGTATTTAATCAAATTAAATAAATTAATTTATTTTAAACTAATCAAATTATACGATTTACATCATACATATTATGCTGTAAATATTTTTGTAATATTTATTAATGTATTTTTAATTTCTTAAGTCAAGTCCTGTAAAAGTGTATGCTAGCTTGGTGATCATGCACACACACACTACATGAGAGTGAGATTGAGTCAAAATCGAAGTTCAATTTTGAACTAATCATACTATATGATTTATATCGTACTGTACGATCATCACATCTAAACGGCTACCTTTTATAATTATATATTTTGAACTAATCGTAATATATGATTTACATAGTAAATAATCATATGTTTAAATCAAGAATCACAGCCGCCAATCATCAATTTAGGTAATATTTTCATATTAAAAATTTGTGTCTAATCATACCATACGATACATATCGTATTGTATGATATATAACAATCATGCCTAAATTGACCCTATGATTAAGTGTTTAACTATGATTAACTTATTCAATCAGATCACACATGATGATTAGGGACAATCGTATTGGATGACCCGAGAGATACGTGGGATGATACTTGATCATCCCGTATTATCTAAGATGAAATACCATACTTTTTCTACTAATCATACTGGACGATCGCAGTATTGTATAGGATGATCAGTATGAACACTTGAACTGATCGTGCAGGACAATTATATTTGTAATGTCTGTAAGGGCTATTTTGCTCTAATCATACATGACGATCTAATAATCATATTGGATGATCTTTGATGATAGAATTGAATCTTCAAAACATATATTCCTTTTTTTTTTTTTGAATGAAGTAAATTAGAACAAATCAATACACAATGGAATGCTAAATGCTTGAATTATTATTTTTATATGCTTTGAATTATGAAGATTGCTTGAGAATCTCTACTTGCACTACTAGCAAAGAAATTTGGGATAAATTATGCATTGTATATGAATGTACTAATGAAGTAAAGAAATCTAAGTTAAATATTCTAATGCATGATTATAAACTTTTTGCATAAAATCTTATAAGATAATCTTAGATATATATACTATGTTTACTTAAATTATGTTATACATGCTTTAGGTAAATAAATTTCAAACTTTAAAAAGGTCAATAAAATTTTACATTGTATACCTGATAAATTTAATGCTAAAATCACTGCTATATGTGAATTAAACGACTTGAATAATTATTCTATTGATAATCTGATTGGCTCACTCATTGCCCACGAGCAAAGTGTGAGTCAAAAGCTTTTGGATGCAAATGAAGCTATAGTGCTAAAAACTGAAGACATTGATGAAAGCGGCTTAGTAGATACTGAGAGTAGCAAATTTGAAAATCTAAAGCGTATAAGCATCAACATCAATAAAAGTAGAATAAAGGTTAAAATAATAAGAATGTTAAAACCTCCTCGGATGTTATTTATTTTGGATGTACAAAATTCGGACATATGAAAAATCAGTATCATATAAAAAATCAATGTCATAAGAAAGGTTAGTGGAGAATGTTTAACAAACGAGATGAAATTTTGGCAGAGTTTTAACATGGTAAGGAGCAAACACACACATATAGCCAACCCCATTATTTATAGAGAGAATTTCGGCCAGGTCAAGAGGGAATTAAAGGGAGATTATTTAGACAATAATTCAAACTAATAATAAAATTTAGAATGCATTAGATCAACCTACACAAAGCCATGAAGAATAGGAAAGAAATTATGTGAATTTTGAGGGAGTTTAGTTTTTCCAAAAATAAAATAAAAATTTTAGAATTTTTAATAGGTGATTAATACATTAAAGTATGCTTAATTAATTTAAAATTTTCAAAATTAACCTAACCATAAATAAATTAAGACTTTAGACAATAGTTATATTAATAAAAATAATTAATTATTTTATAATAATAAAGGATTAAAATTATTTTATCTTACAAGAAGTGCTCCAACATTTATTCACAAGTATATCATTAACTAATATAAATATTTTGATTAATTATATATTAATTAATGTAGAAAAATTTTGGCCTTAACATATTCATGCATGACAATGTGTGTTATGATAAGGTAGATTAGAAAAGAATAATACTAAGAGAGAGAGAAAACAAATAATTTTGATTATTGGATTATCATTTGACATCAAAATTTTTAATTGAAGATTTGGAGATAATTAATTATGTTTTAAAATATTATTGGATGAATTAAATAAACTCAAGAAAGGATTGAATACAATACAAGTTATTAAGCTTTGAAATGCAGGATAGTGAACATTTAAAAAATGATCAAAATTATGATTATTCATGAGATAGTTATGATGAATGATTTAGAAAAGCTACGAACTTATGAAAATATATTAAAACATAAATATTTAGAAGTTAATTTAATTATAAAAAATTAGTTTATAGCTTTATTATTAATTCTAGTAATGAGAAATAAAAGCAAAATTAAGAAAAGTTGATAATAACACTTAATGTATGATATTTTTCTTCTTCTATTGTCTATTGCCCATCTATTTCTATATTTTCTCTTCTCTTTAGTCTTTATCCATGCTCTTCAATTTTGTTACTGCATCGGCTTTGCGTGCTTCACTTTGAAAAACTCTTAATGGATCAAAAGTAAAGAATGGAGCTCGCTTGTCATGAAAGTTATATTTGCCCCCTTTTTTTGCACTTTTTCAACTAAATCTTATAAATTTGTCCAACTCTATAATTTAATAAATATAAAATTTATGAAAAAAAAGGAAAACAAAAAACATCTCAAAAAAATTATGTCTAAAAATCCACAGTTGACAAGCACAATTCTCCTTGACTGAACAAACCCATCATCTCCCTAGCCTAGGAGTGTAAACGAGTCGAGTCAAGCTCGAGTTATAAGCCAAATCCCAAGCTCGAACTCGGGTTGAGCTTAAAAGGTGAGCTCGAGCTATGCTCGTGCCACAGAAATGAGCTTGTTGAGCCCCTTGATTAGAATGTTGGAGCACCCATTTCGTGCCCGAGCTTCTGCCATGCATTTGAGCTTCGATAATCCAACCCTGTATCCCAAGTCTTGAATATGAGCTTCTATTTTGCCCTTGATTTAGTCTTCCTTCCCTCTATTTTCATCTTCTCGCGTGCAATCCCTCCTTCCCGCCCACTATTTTGCCTTCCAGCATGTGACCCCCTCTATCTGCCCATTATTTCGTCTTCCCGTGACTGACTATGATCCCGCCTTCCGCACACTTGAGCCGAGTATAAGTTGGATCAAATTTGAGTTAGATAATCCAACCAACTCGAAATTCTGAGCCCAAGTTCGAAACTCGATAAACTCGACTCGCAAGCTCGTTAACAAATTCAACCAAGCGACTCGGCTCACTTATACCTACCCCTCACCTCTCTCTCTCTCTCTCTCTCTCTCTCTCTCTCTCTCTCTCTCTCTCCCCTCTAGATTTCGTGGCCGCAGCACCTTGTGATTACCTTTTCAACAACTGACGCGTTGGTACGTCAAGCTGTTGGGCCAGATCAGACTGCATATTGTTGGCACCCAACCGTGCGCCATATTAATTGCTAGTTCTCTCTATTGCCCTCATTCTCTTCATCCATAATAGTTAGTCTTTTCACTACAAGGTGGCTTGGTTCAAGTTCTTTTCAATCTTAAGGGGATGTTTGGTATTGGATTGGATTTAATTTAGTAGGATTTAGTAAATTCTATAAATTCGGATTTAGTATATCCTGAGACTATTAAATCGTGAAAAGGACAATTGTTAAATCTTGTTAAATCCTGAGAAACTGTTTGACAACGTATTTTAGGATTTAAAACTGTTAGAGAGTTAAATATGAAGAAATAATATTGAATTACTTTGACAACTTATCTAAAATAAAAAAAAAACTACAAAATGTATTTAATTAATAATTTATTTCTAATTATAATACTAATTATTAAACAATGTAATTAAGTAATTCATTAATCACTTAAATACTCTACAAACTATTAATTTAGTTATTATTTACAATGTTAATTATATAATTAATTATTCTATTTCAAATTCTAAAACCTAAGCTAATTATATTCATTTTTAATTACAAATTATACAACAAATTATTTATTTAAGCTTAATTAGATTACTTAATTAGACTACTAACTATACTACTAATTATTTAATTATTTTAATTAATTATTAATATTGTAGAGGCCTTTAAAGTTTTGCTAATTATACTATAATTATGTTAAATAAGTTTAATTACTAATTTAGTTGGAGGCTCGCTAGGTTTGCTTTATTAATTTTCTGCATTTCTCCGTTGCTATTATTTTTCCTCGTCGCCAGCTATTCGTTGTTGCTTCGGCCTCGCCTACTTAGCGTGAAATAGTGTTGAAAGAGTCGCTATAGAAGCTTTGTCGCCTCCTCCTCCGACGTCGGATCGAAAGACACGACGGGAGAGCGCTCGCTGCGAAGGTAACCATCTTTCTCCACGACAAGGACGCCGCCCGAGTCGTAAATCCCTCAAATCCGCCGAAGAATGGGATTCGGATTTACGCGGATTTACACGGATTTATGCCGTAAATCCGTAAATCCGGGATTTGCGTCGCCGCGGAATTTGCAGGCGCGCAGAAAACCATTTGGCTGGATTTAGGTTAAATCCTGCTTAAATCTTATGCCAAATCCGATACCAAAGAGCCCCTAAAGGTCATTTTTTAGTATGCTTAATGGAACCTTAGCTAAAGCTCGATTTTTTCATCTTCTTATCTATGCTTCCATGCCGAAACTTCAAACCTTTCTTCAGATTTCATTGTGGGTTCCTCAAACCCTCGAATTTTTCACGCGATGTGAGGAAGAAACCCTCTGCATCATCATCAGCGGCATTCAGCCCCAAATCGTTTCCCTTCTTTTCTTCCTCTTCCGCTGTATTGATTCAGTCCAGTGATTTCTATCCAGAAGCTTCTTCTGGCTTCCATACTTCTCTTCTTGTCGCCCAAACCCTCGCAAATCTGAGACACAATCCAGACATAGCTCTTGCAATATTCAGGGGCTTTGAGAACCATGGATTTCGGCACGACCTTTTCACTTGCTCCGTTATTGTTCGCATACTTTCGAATGCAGGTCAGAGGAAGAAGCTTGTTTCTCTCTTCTCTGAAATTATCTTAACGAAGAGAAGTTTTAGTTTTGAGCTTGCTGCACTCTTTGATGTTCTTTCTAAGGGTCCACGCTGTTCAAAGTCGTTGCTCCTGGTGTTTGATTCACTTATGAAAGCTTATGCGTCATGTCAGAGACCCAAGGATGCCTTGGAGGCCTTCCGTGACCTGACTAGATCTGGATTCATCCCATCTCTTAAGACGTGCAATTTTCTGATGAATTTTCTGGCCGAGGTAAGTGATTTTGAGATGGTGATGGCAGCATATCGCTGCATGATCAGTTCTGCAATCCGTCCAGATGTACATACTTTTACAATTTTGATGAAGGCTTCATTTCGCTGGGGTGAGTTGGGGAATGCGAGTAATTTTATGGTAGAAATGACACAAGCTGGAGTTGCGCCAGACCTGTTTGCTTATACTACATTTATCGCTGGGTTATGTAAATGCGGGAAACCAGATTTAGCTATTGAATTTCTTAAAATGGTTACAAGTCAGGGAGTTAGTACCCTAGCTTATAACAAGGTGATTAGCGAGTTTTGTAAACAGATGAAATTGGAAGAAGCTGAAAAAGTTTTTGAGGATATGACACTACAGAATGTGTCCCCAGATACCTTTAGCTACAACTGTCTCATTAAGGTTCTCTGCGAAACAGGGAACCTTTTAAAAGCTGCACGTCTTGTAGAGGAGATGGAGTCAAAGGATATTGTTCATGATTGTTTTACTGCCACTTTTCTTGTTCGGGGTTGCTGTAAGATTGGCTTATATTATGATGCCTTACAGTATTTCAAGAAATTTAAGGACTCGGGGATTTCCCTTGATGGAGTTGTCTATAATGTTGCAATAGACGCCTGGTGCAAGCTAGGAGAAATGGAATGCGCCATGGATTTATTTCAAGAAATGATGGACCGGGGTTTATTTCCAGATAAGTTCCATTTCACTACGCTGATTTGTGGGTATTGCTGCAATGGAGAAATAAATTCTGCTAAGAGGTTGCTCATGCAGATGCTGAATGCCAATGTAGAACCTGATCTTATGACATACAACGTGCTTGCTAGAGGTTTATGTGAGAGTGGCTATGTTAATCAGGAAGCTGCCGACCTTTTGGATTTAATGTGGGAAAGAGGAGTACAGCCGAATGCTACTACCTATGGCATATTCATTGTTGGACTTTGCAGAGGAGGAAATTTAGAGGAGGCAGAAATTTTGTTCAAGAATTTAGAGGGAAGTGATACCGCCCAAGATACACCGCTCTTCAGTGCCATGGTTTCTGGTTACCTCGAAGAAGGTTACACAGAAAAGGCATATGAGCTTTTTATCAGGTTGCTTGAGCAAAGGAATTTGGTGGATGAGATCACTTGTTCTAGGCTTATAACAGATCTTTGTAGAGAGAAGGATGTTGAAAGAGCTTCTACGGCAGTAGATCATATGCTAAAGACATGTATAACTCCTAATATTATACCATATACTAATCTTATTGAAGCTTATTGTCACATTGGAGGCATGGAGAATGCTCGAATTTTATTTGATAAATGGGTTTCAAGAGGACTCTTGCCTGATATCATTTTGTATACCACTCTCATGAATGGTTATTGCAAGGTTCACCGCCTGCAGGAAGCTTTCAATTTGTTTTCTGAGATGAAGGTAAGAGGAATTAAACCTGATGTTAAAGCTTTAACAGTTATTTTGGATGGATATCTAAAAGAATATTTAACTGAACGTTGCTTGAGTCTTGACAAAAAACTGAGAGACTTAGAATTCAAAGCCAAGTTTTCTTCTCTGGCAAATGTTATGTTCAAATATATTAAGACAATGGAAATGAATGCAGATAAAGTTCTCTATACAGTTGTAATTAATGGGCTTTGCAGGATGCAGGATCTTCAAGAAGCTTGTAAGTTTTTTGATGAGATGAAGGAAAGGGGGCTTACACCAGATGCTTTTACATACACCTCTCTAGTATGTGGATACTGTAAGCAGGAGAAGGTAGAGAATGCTGCGAACCTGTTAGAGGAAATGCTGGAAAAAGGAATTATACCTGATGAACCTATTGCATTCTCGAGCTTTGTTCGGGCAAATATGAAATCTAAGCAGTCAGATTTCAACCTGATAAAAACACTTCTGTAGCCTTCTTGGATGCATCAGTGTCGTGTTTCTATCCCTTCAACTTCAATGATGATGGTGCTGTTCAAAAATTTTTGAATGTCTGATATTAGTTTGACATCAAAGTGGTCAGTTTTTCATTATACCCTGGAAATAGGCCATGAGAGCTTGTTATAAACTGAAAAGAATCACTTGAACTTGTCACTTGTGGGTCCTTCCTGTTATAATATTTCTCAAAGAATTATGAGAGAATATGCAGGTTTACTGTGCATGAAAATAACAGAAAGAAGGGAACAAGGGAAGCTTCTAGAGAGGGATCACCTAAGAAGTGGCGTGCATTCTGCCAAACTAACCTATACTTTTGTTTAAGAGGTGGTTTATAGATTGAAAAGGTATGTCAAAGCTCTGCGACATAATTCTTTAGAAATTATTATTCTATTTTGTTTGTATGCACATAATCTTTCTCCCAATAGCTGTATTTTTATGAAGATTATTTTTAAGAAATTATAATAGGTGAAGCAGTTGCCACTTTTTATACATTTTAGCTTATCCGGCATATCTTCGTTAGGTGTTCTTTGTGAATTCGATGTTGTTTGTCGAAGGATGGATTAGTTTTGTAGTTCTTATGAGTGCGGTTGGGTATTTGGTAAGTCAGGCAAATGTATTCCTCTCACACAAGACAACAAAAAAACTGAACGGATAGTTATATCTCACCATGCTCATTCATATATAGGCAAGGGTTGAAGCACTCCAGTTGGCCTCTGGCCCTCTGACACTATGTTTTACTACCTGGAACTTTTGCATTTAGAAACATATTCTACCAATTACTTCTTCACTTGACCATTAAAATTATAACTTTATGTCTTTATAAATCTTACTACTACCGAGATGAATGATATAATTTGAATAATGAGCTTCCTTTAAAAAATTCAGCCTCATATTTGAGTTATCTTGTACGTATAATCAAAATTTTCAGCCTCATATTTAACGTATCTAATACCTATATTCTACCAGTGCACCTAATCACTTCTGCATCTGTAATACTTAGATCATTTATCTCCTGCACTTAAAAAAAAAAGGTATGGAGCTGTCAGTTTGTGTTCAACCTATATTCTATTTAACCATTGCATTTGAACTTTTAGCATTTATTTTCAGCTCCTTTGTATCACCCTTCTTTTTTTTTTCATTGATTTTGCTGATATTGAGTACACGTGCATTTCGTTTTTGTTAGCCTATTGAGGGTTACAGAATGGTTAAGTTTATTATCGACTCTCCTAAGTCCTAATCCTGCAACATAGATGGTCTTGAATTGGATTGATTCGCTGAAGTGAAAAATTAAAACAAGCTAAGTTAATTTTTTAAAACATATTGAATAGGTTTGTTTTGATTACATCAATTGAATTTGTAAATGAAAATATTAGTTGATTTAATTTTTTCTCTATATGGATATGGAGAAGTATATTAGGTGATATGGTTGTAAATTTTTTGAAAAGTTTAAAATTATTTTAATATCGCATGCAAGCTCATTAATGTGAATCATAAATTATAGATTTTAAGTGATTATTTATGATTAGGGTAGAAATAAGTTATTATGTTATATTTTGAGAGATTTGGTTGATAATACATTTTTAGCTTGTGTTGGTTTCTTGTTTTATAAAACCCGTGTTCTCCCATATATAAATGGTGCCCTTGTCATTGGATCAAACATTTGAGAAGATTCAAAAAGTGAGGTAGTTGGGTACTTTAACTGTTGCAACACTGTAGCAATCTGCATTATAGCAGCTCAAGAAGCACAACAGCAATCAGTTACTTTAGCAACTGAAGCATTGCAACAATTACATATTGTAGCAAGAAAGAAAGATGGAGGAGAGTTCCATCTTTTGCTACAGGGAGTCGTTGGTTTAAGCGAAGTGTTGTTTCTTATTTCAGTATGATATATGATTGCAAACCCATTTCCTTTTTAAGTAGAGATGAGGTGGGCATATATCAACTGCAACAAAAATTATATCTTGTTCTTTGCTTTTCGTCCTCACCTTCTTAGTTTATTATGGAATGTGTTGAAGATCTCAGATTTTCGATTTTGATCAATGGGAGTTCGTCCAGCTGGATTAAGGCTAGAAGCGGTTTAGGCAAGGTTGTCCCTTATCCCCGTTCCTATTTATTTTATGCTCTCAATTGTTATCAAATACTTTGATTCAAAAAGGTGATGTGATTGGTATCAAAGTCCGTCCAAATGCTCCTAGGATCTCTTATTTGCTATATGCATATGACATCATGATTTTTTCTGAAGCTAGTATAAAGGTGGTAAAGGATATCATGAATGTTTTGCTGGAATTTCGTAATTGGTCTGGCCAAAATATAAATTATAAAAAATCTGTTATTCTTTTTAGGAAAGCTGTGAAAAGGAGGAAGAAGAAAATTATCTCTTTGGATGGTTTTTAAACCTTTTAAAGAGATGAACTATTTGGGTGTGAAGATTGCTTTGAGGAGACTTGTGGGTGTTGATTTTCATCAAATTCTACACAAATCTATGGGGAAACTTAATGCTTGGGGGAATAAATTTATTTCCTTAGCAGGAAGATTTTTTTTTTTCCTTAAATCGGTTATCCTCTTGGTTCTAATTTTTCAATGTACTTACTCTCTTATTCCTAAGGGAGTTCTTTTTGAAATTGACAAGATGTGTGGGAATTTTATTTGGCATAAGCAGGATGGGAAGAATGGCCTTCATTATGTGAGTTGGGACGTGCTGTGTAAGCTGGTTAAGATGGGTAGACGCTTCATTCTTGTGGTAGCATAGTGGGGTCTTTAAGGGCGAAATTGGCGTGGAATTTCCTTAATGAGACGGACTTGCTGTTGTACAGGATTCTGGAAGCTAAGTATGGATCTTGGAGTTGGAATTCTGAGTTGAACAATGGCTTGTTTAGTTCATGGAAGATTATTTCGGATGGTGTTAAACCTCTTACTCCCATTGTTAGATGGAAGATCACGGATGGTGAATCTATTAATGTATTCAAGGATGTTTGGGTGTTAGATAAGTGTTTTAGCAGATGACCTACGTTTGTTACAACTCAAGGGAGCTATGACATGACTGTGGATATGTTCATAATGGAAGGGGCTTGGAATAAGGATGAGCTACGGAATTATTTTGGTGATGAATTGGTTATGCTGATTTCTGAAATTCAGATTTTTCCTGAGTTGGCTAATGATCAAGTGGAATTTATTCACCAAAGTTCGTGGAAATCAATTTCTGCTCTAGCATTTGAGTCTTCGGTGCATCATCTGAATGAAAATATGTATTGGAATTGTATTAAGAAGATTAAACTAAATCCACGTATTGAAGTTTTCTAGTGGCGATTGTTTCATAATGCTATTCTTACATTCCAATTTCTGGTTCATAGAAGATTAAAAGAAGATAATTTATGTCCTAGAGGTTGTATGAAGGTGGAGGATTATGAACATGTGGCAGTGACTTGCTTGAAGTTGATTCGAATTTTGAATAAATGGGGATTATGTGTTCCAATTTTTGTTTCTTTTGATGAATGATGCTTATGGTTCAAACGATGCTCTTCCAAGAATGTGTTTTTGGTTAAGCTTTATTGTACTGCTATATATCTATCATGGAAATCTTGGAATAAAGATGTTCATGGCGGTAATGATGATAGTAGTTTGGTTATTGTAGCTTATTCAGTTAATTTGGCCTCACTCTCATCTTCGGCTGGGTGTGCTATATAAATTCAGGCATTTGGGGTGTTAATCAGTCAAATCGTCTGTTCAAGAATTGTTGGCACCCTCCTCCTCCTGATTGGATAAAAGTTAATGTTGATGCTTCTTTACTACCATCTTATAAGGCTGGTGTTGGGGGAGTATTCCGATATCATAAGAAAAGGTTTTAATTGGCATTTGGTTTCAGTGGTGTACATTGGGATGTATCCCGGTTGGAGATGTTAGCTATTCATTCCCTGAGTTCGATCATGCAATAGTGGATGTTGCAAGATAAAGAAATTATAATTAAAGGGGATAATGTTAATGTCATCAAATTCCTTCAAGGTGTTATGAATAAGATTGATGGTAATAAGACCGGTATTTGGATGGAAGAGTTTGCTTGCCTTAAAGATTTTCATAATGTTATTTTTAGTTATGTTTATAGGGAATGTAATAAGTTAGCCGATCTATGTGCTAATGTTACTCTTAGTAGTAACTTTGTTTGGGATGATATTAGTATGTGTAATATTCCTCCTCCTTTTCTTCATTTGTTAAAGGAGGAATGTGATTGTATTTTGCAATTGCATCTTTCAAAAAATATATATATGATCTATAGGCTATATCAAATGGCTGAAACTCATGTTGATTAATTCTTGTGGGTTCAGGGAAACACCTTCCTTCTTGCTCTAATCTTTGCAGCACAGCACGTGTACGATGTGCAAATAAAGACACGCCTTGATGTGAAACGGTTTCAAATTAGGAATTGCAAGAAATTAATAAAAGTATTTTAAGCCATACAAAGTACTAAGCAATGTTTCACGAGAATGAGAATCTCCGAATTGTTCATATTTGATTTCGGAATAGTAAACAGTTACATGCTAGAATGGTAAAACTTGTAAAATAATTCAAACTCAACAACGCTTATGGAAATAACAATGAATCCACCCGTTAACAATAAGAAAATTCACCTATGAGTTTCCCTCAATCTCGCTCATTGAAGTGGGCTTAGCGGAGGAAGATCATAAACAATATTAGTAATGCCACTAATAAATTGTGAACGCTGCAAGTATTGGTCAATGAAGAGTTACCCGGATTCAAAGAGATAGGTGGACGGTTGATAACCACCCACTGGTTGTTGGAGAATCTTTGATCAATAGCGGCGGATAATTGAAAGAGAACTCTATCCACGTAGCCTTCCACAGTCTCGTCGGCGTCAAAGTTGATTTCAAAGAAGGTTGGTTGCAAGATGGTGACGAAGCCTTCTTGATCGTAGAGTATGCCGGAATCAAGTTTGGGATCCGTCATCCATGAGAAAAATTCGTCTTGAGTAGAATTGGAGGTGGCGGCTTGTGAAGGAAGAGGGAGAGGGTGAGGAGGCCGGCGGTGGAGAGGGGTTTAGGTCCAGGGGTGGGCAGCTAATGGGGAGGGGGAGGGGAACTTGAAATCTGAAATAAATTTCAGATTTTATGGGTTAGGGTTTTGGAAATTTTGAATTGATTAATTAAGGAGAAGTAGAGGGAGGATTAAAGGGAATTATTTGAATTGAGCCTTGATTGTGGCTCAATTAAATTTGAATGGAGGGGGAAGATAGGAAGGGGGGCTGACGGTTAGCTTGGTTTGAGGAGTGATTGGGGGAGGTAATTAATTAAGAAGGGGGAGAAAAAGAAAGGGTAAGGGAGCCGAACATATGGGAGAGAGAGAGAGGTGTCCACATACAATATATGTGGACCTCAATTAATTGATTGATTGATTGCAATAAATCTGAATTTATTCTCAAATTTGGGAGAGGATTAAAGAGATTTCCTAAAATAAATTTCAGATTTATGAAAGAGAATTTGAAATTCAAATTATTTTGAATCCAAATTAAACCTTACCTAATTTAGATTGGGCCAATTTAGGAAGGTGGTGAGGTGGCATTTGAGGTGGAAGTTGGGTGGGCCTTAGGAGGGACCGGCGGCCAGGGTGGTTGGGCAGAGCTCGGTGGGGGGTGGCGGCCGAGAGGTGGCCGGCTGGTTGGTGGGGGTCTCACCGGCGGGTAAGGAGGGAAATAGGGGTGTGGTTGGCAGCTAGAGGCTAGGTTAGGGATTGTCGATGGTCAGGAATGAAGGAATGAAAATACACTCCACGAATGAAAAAACCACGAGCCTGAAATCCACTGGTGGCTGGTGGGTATTGCTCTCCCCTTTCTAAGGTCTCTCCACTCAAGCACTCACTAAGAGAACTAGAAGACAAGGCTGAAATTTTATTATCTAGCAATCATCCTCAATACAAGTCTAAGGCCTCAATATATAGGCCTCCAAAGTAGAAGAACTCAAAGACAAAAGTGCCCTTTGGGCCACAACTAACTAAGCTCCCATGAAAGGGTACAATGGTCAAAACTAAAATTAACAAAATACTACTAATGAAATAATATAAAATGACTCAAAAATAGATGCTCCGGATCATGGCCGTCGATCTGCGATGTCGCTTGTGATAGACTTGCTGAAATCTCCTGCTGATGTCCTCATCACGACTTCTTTTTTGTTTTTGAGTAGCTTGATTAAGACGTCTCATAAAAATCCCCATAATATTATAATTAGTTCTTGAATTGGTAAACCATGAGCACGTTTGAAGATGCCATTGAAGGACTTTGACGCATTCGTAGTCATAGTGCCATACTGTTATCCACCATCATGTATGCGTGACCAACGGGCAATGTCACATTCTACCAAACATTGAAGTGTCTCTGCTTTGACATTTTTTATGTCTTCCATTAAGTAATTGAATGTGCGCATATTACAATTTACTCACTAGAATAAATTGGTTAGCCTACTTGGTAGGTAGCTATTTCTTGATTTTTTTTAAATAGATAGATTCTTAAGGAATGCAAAAAAAAAAAATCTATGCCTAAATAAAAATTTCAATGGATTGAATCCTTGATTAAATGTGAAAATTGAAGTTCTAAGAGATGATCTTCTTATACTGATATCTTTGTATTTCAATTTTTTATTTTGTTAACATTATTCTATTTTTTTTTTAATTGAATGTGAGGTTTTGTTTTGTTATATTTCCAACATTCTGAATCTTGGTGGATTGTGTAAAATTTCGATCGCATTTATGACTTTATTGATATTTAATTCTAGTTAATTTATAGGATATGTGATCTTTTATTTAAATTTTTCTAAATTTTATTAAATATAGCAAACTAATTTTTTTTTTTATTCACGTCACATTAAATTTGTATTCCTAAACCCTAAGATGTCCTTCATCTGCACATCTTTTGCTTTGATTGAGGAGTTAAATTTTGGAGAAATTATTCCGTGCGGAGTCCGGACGGTAAAGAACCGTCCGGATGTGAGTCTACACAGTGTGTACACTGAGTATAATTTTGTATACAGTTTGATTTTTTTTGTACACAATGTGTACAAACTCTGAGTAAACTCACATCTGGATGGTTCTTTACCGTCCGGACTCCGCACGGAATAATTTCTCTAAATTTTCAACCTGCCTTGATAAAAAATCCTGTGCCAAGTTCTTAGGCTTGCTGGATTGATATCAATATCTCTGTGGCCCGATCAAAAGTAATTACTCAATATGGCTTTGTATGCCTATGCTGAACAGATATGTTTGAATTTATATGGGCTGCTGAATGCGCAGCCGCGCAGCTAACTTTTACAGCCTTAGGGGCGATTCATTGAATTTTTTTTTTTACTAAAGTTTTCTTGTTTTATTGCATCAGTGAGACTCCAGTCCAAAAGAGGGATTGGATTTAGCGGTTAAATCAGGTCATCAACTTGCACACAGCTCATCTTGACCTGTTGGTTGAGAACTTAAGCTTTCAACTATAAGGTAAAGAAAAACTAGTCTCTATGAAATATGTATTTACTGCAATCGTCATCAATGGTTTCCACTTTCCAGAATTGCTGTTTTGTAAGAATTGCTGGTCAATTACAAGATTTAAAGCTTAGCATTAAAAATACATTTGTGCACATTTTACCAGCATCAAGGTCTTCCCTTTTTTTTTTT